TCCTCCCTCCTCGCTCTTATGTGAAGAGGTTGCTAAAGGGACTGGGTGTCCTGTTACATGTCTTTGAATGAGGGTACAGCACATTGTGTTTCCATAACTATCACAGTGAGGCCTGGGAATGGATCAGCGGCTTGGGTTAAACTCGGTGCCCCTTAACCCTTTGATACTAATATACAGTGGCTGCTGAAGTGTTCATAACTTTTGAACATGTACGTTTTGTCACAACCACAAACCTCAGTGGGTTATATGTGAGGAAAGTGGTCCATGGGAACGTCATGCTGTTGGGATGCAGGGAAGCTAAATAGATGCAGCTAAATGTAAATCCAATCTTCTAAATTTATAATCTGGTCAAGAATAGCATTAAGAAGAGGAGTGGGTCAGGTGGAGGACAGATTTCACAAATCTGGCCTTTATGCGAGAGTGTCCTGGATAAATAATTAGTTTGAAGGAAACGACACTTAAAAAGTCCCATTTATGGTTTGCCACATGCCTCGTGGAATGATGTTGTCAAATGACGCCATTTTTTTTGTTCGGTTTAGATAAAGCTTTTATTCTGGCAGTGTTTGAGATGGTAGTGAGCTGATTTAGTAATACATTGTAAATAGATTCAGGGTTCAGTTATGACACTTAGGGTTGTTTGGCTGTGTACTGATTCAGTGACTTTATTAAACGATGACAAAGTGGGGGCATAAAAATATAAAGTTATGTGTGATCAGCACAGATAATATAGATGTTATAGAAGCCCACCATCTGCGTTCGGAGGCTTATGTAGATGTTGAGGAATGGTGGCCTAAGAATGGAGCCTTCAGGAGCCCGGATTTGTTATTGATTTTTGATTATCTAATGACACAAAGCCATTAGGTAAAATAAGATCTGAGCCAGTTTAGGACAATCTGACCGACTTTCCAATCGATCAATCTGTTTCCTATGATCGGATGTGTCAACTTCTATAATGAGAAGCTTATCATTCAAAAACGTTTTATCAGTGTGATGTCAGTGCTGTGGTGATCCAGATGGAGCTTTTTTTTTTTTTTTTAAAAAAGAAAGATGTTTGATCGCTGACATTTGCAGCCTCTGTTTATAACTCTCCATCTGAAGACAAGTATTTAATATTTATAACATTTGAGTCTCTTCAGAGCGTAAGGACAAATGTTTTGGTTTTAACTTGTGTGGAATTAATGTACAAAGTCTTTGCAGAATCTGATTAAAAGTTTGAGGTGAAAAGTTGTGACACGGTGGTGAGCCTGTCAACAATAGTAAATAATGTCTGGGTCAGAGCAGCCAGAGCTGCAGTGGAAGAGTTTGGATCAGATTCAATAAATCAATAAATAAATCAATAAATCGAATAATCTTTTCCAGCGTCCCATCTGACATGTATATATTTTTTAAACCAAAATGTTATCTATAGTGGGCCAAGAGAAGCAACTTTGTTGCCCATCGCTGTTGTTTGCTGATGTCACTTGGGCGTCAGATTTATGGGCGTACGAGAAACACGGCAATGCAAAGGTTCCGCTTGAAACTTTTGCAATTAAAAAAAAAAATTCCATTAGTTACGTTAACATTTTTAACACGTTAAAAACTGTCGTTAATCAATCAAAATTAACACGTTAAAGTCCTGGCAATAGTTTAGATCAAAGCACATTTGCTGGCCTAGCCAAAGTCCAAAATGAAATCGAAGCGAGAATTCATGGCAAAACTTAATTTGCTCTTCGTCCAGTCTGATGGAGCTTGGACTGTTTTAAAAAGACGATCAAAAATCTCAGTCTCTGGAGGCAGAACATAGAATAATAATGTCTGTGGTTGTACAACTTTGTGGAGTTGAATACTATTGGTTTTTATATGTGGGGTTGTTTTCGAACAAAGTGTCAATTCCCCTCTGCTTCCCAGCTTTGCTCTACTCTGTTAGTCTGTCGCATAAAATCAGAATACAATAAGTTGATATTTGTGGTTTGAAAACGAGTGGAAAAGTTCAGGAAATCCACTTTGTGCATCTATTCATCTGTATTAATTTCTTTCTTCCCCCCTACTTTCTCTTCCAGCATATTCCTCCAGCACTTCCTCAGCATACTCTCCCTACCAGCACGACACCGGGACAAACTCCTCAGGAGCCCCTCTGCTGATTTGAAACGCTACGCAGAGAATCAAATGTCTATACGCTGACGTAGCTTCCTTTCATTTATACTGTTACTGAGCAGAGCACCTTTATCCGACATGGGTATAGTTCTCCTTTCATTGGTCAAAATGATTTTTTTTAAATCTTTCCTTTAAAAACGACCAACAGAGGAGATTTTTTATTATTATTATTATTATTTTGTCATTTTCTCATGGCAGAGGGATGTGTTTTTTTTATTTTTTTTTATCAACGCAGTGTTTTAGGTTTAGACGGTAAAGGCTCAGCAGTGAGGAGACCAGAGCATCGAGGGTCACGTCAGGACAGAACCGTCCTCAGTCTTGTCTTTGTTTTTGTTTGTACGAGCTGTCTTATTCTGCATGTACAGCTTAATGTCTCCTACCATTTCGCTCCACTGCTGAGGGACACTTTGGTCTGTTTCACCCGCAGACTGTATTGCTGAAAGCCATATTTTGATGTACATATTAAGTCAATGTTTCTCTGTAACCGTTTGGATTTGTTGTTTTTTTTATTCATGTTTTGAACAAAATAAAAATTTCCGTCGTTGTTTTTAAAGCCTTTTGTTTTTACTAAACGTTCTGCTGATACGCAACGCAGGCTGCCTTTCTATTTGTCGGCGACTCAGCAGAAAATGTAGATCAAACCGAAATCTGCTCGCAACAACTTCCTCGGCTCCAACGTTTCTTTTCCTGCGTCGACAAATGTTTCTGTAAAGTTTTCTCCCTGGCCCACTTTTTCTTCATCTCTGGGATTGTTGTCAGGCTCGCCTCCCCGAGGTCAGCGTTGCAGCAGGCAGGGTTTTTCCGCCCTCAGCAAAAGACGGAACTCGTTTGGCTGGTTCTGACTCAAGGGAAATGAAATCCAGGGGTTTGTCTTTGTCATTTATTGCAAAATGAAGACGGAGCACGGAAAACCAACCCGATTTCAGGAATCCGTCACGATTCTGTTTGGTGTCGAACAAGTACTTTTTTTCTTCTTTTTTTTCGCTCTGGAAATTTTAGATTCTGGTGTTCTTTCACGACCGAGGCCAAAACAACAACAAAAAAAATTATCTAAGGCTAAATCTGCTAGCTGGTGGTATTTACAACCATTTTGCGTCTTGTGTTGTAAAACAGGACATCTGTCAGACTGCATAATAAAACTGCTCCTGAACATTCTTTTGATTTCCTTTGGAAGCAGATGAGAAGAGTTTTTGGTTGAGTCACGTAGAAGCAATGCTTGCTCCACAAAACTTACACAACATGTAATTATCTCTGTTTTCTGTGCCTGAATTCAAGCTTTTCAGGCTTTTTTTCTTCTCTTTTTTCTCCCCCCTTTTGTTTGTGTTGCAGTTTTCCTGCATAACCCCATTTCCTCTGGCTCACTGCCCCCGCCGGCACATTCCTGTTTTACCTGCACAGGTTGTCATGTAAAGACACACAGTTTCACAACCTGCATACCAAACAATGAGATGAGTAAGGACTAAGTAGGCCTGCTCCTTATAAATCACAGCATTCACACTGTTGGGATTGTTTTACGACGGTGATTTCCTGTTGACTGTAACATGTTGCTCTTTACTTTCGTGGGTTAAATCGAGAAGAGGAAAAAAAAAAGATTGACATTGTTCAGAAGGAGAGTAAATTAAAGAGCGATTTTTAGGAAACTACTTGCTGGGACAAAAAAAAAAAAAAAAAAAAAGATTCCATCATTTTCCATGAGAGGGAGACACAGGACCATTGTTAAAGTTCCTACAATAACCACATGCATTATTGTGAAGTGGAAGGAAAATAGTAGGAGGTTTTCAATATTATTTAGCAAATTAAATCTGAAAAGTGCACTTTGCATTCAGCCCCCATTTGATATAATACCCTTAAATATACAAATTTGGCAAGAAGAAAACCATAACTAGCTCCATTTGTTTTGTTTTTTTTTGTTTGTTTTTTTATCACAAGCCATGCAGGAGACACAGCAGACACAGAAGAAGCAGCTTTGGATGGCAGAGGTCAAAATATTTGTGGTAAACTAAAGCAACACACTGACCTGAACGCACCCAACCACAGAAAACATGTTACTGAGGCTGCAAAAGACTCACAACTGGGGCAGAGGTTCGCCCTCGAGTCAGGCGATGATCCTAAACACTCGGCTGCGATAGAATGGTTTATATCACAGCATATTCATGTGTTAGACTGGTGCTGTCAAGGTCTAGACCTAAGTCCAGTTAAGAATATGTTGCAAGACTTTAAAAAAGTGACATGATGTTCACAGATTTGAACTTTTTTGAAAATTTTGAGCTGTTCTGCAGAGAAGAGTGCAGGAAACATTCAGTCTAGTGCAAATCTTGGAGTTTTGTCACCTCAAACGGATTTCCAGATGTTTTGAAAGGATGCACAAATTCATGTCACGGTTTTTGTGGGGGCGGGGGGTTATGAGCAACTAAAGTGAATGACCACATATTATTTTCCTTCCTCTTCATAATTATGCACTTCTTTGTGTTGTTTTGTCACACTGAAATTTATGGTTACAGCATGTGGTTTCAAGTGGGGTGATTCATTTTGCAGGGTGATGCGTACGCTTTCAGTCTGAGATGACAGCACTGTTTTCCTAATCTTTCATCATTTCATATTTGTAATATCTTTATGAGGTGACGCCTGTTCAACAGGCTGAAGCATGATATTTGTCCCGAATCTTACAGTTTTAATCTGTTTACTATTTTTCCAGATGGCCTAAAGAAGCTAACGAAGCGGTGTGAAAACGTTCAGATTCGTGCTTTTGGACACACTTGGAAGAATTTTAAAACGTTTTTGTTGTGCAATAGTTGAGCTCAACATGTCAGAAATGATGGATCTGAGGGTGAGGGTGTCATGGCAACCAGTGAGCCGTCACTAGTGAATTCATGTACAAAAATATATTTATTTCAAGTCTTCATTTGAAGCAAACGACATTTATATACAACGAAGCAACAGAAAAGGTCAAGTATACTGTGGAAAGACGACGCTTTCTTTTTAGTGGAGGATTTCTGCTTAATCTGGACTAAAGTGACCTCAGCTTCTTGAAAAATGGAAGCAAATCCTAATCCCGTGTAGAAAAAATAACAGTTTCTCTTGCCGATTTTTGGGGGTGGTTTGCAGCATTTAAGCGGTGTAATAATAATAATAATAATAGTAATAATAATAATAATAATAAAAATAAACAACAAACAGATTATCACTTTGCAGATTGGAGGACAGCTACGGATTTCTGCAGAAGAGCATGTCGACCAGCAGCTCCAGCAGGTTGGCCTGGCCAATCACAGGCCGGAAGAAGAGCTCGGCGATGAGGCTGGGTGTGATGCCCTGCAGCATGGAGGCTGTGAGGAGGATCCGAGCGAAGCGCTCCTGGTGGCCCGGATGTAGGAGCTGGACCACCTCGCTCAGGGCGTGCTGAGCTTCCTGCTGCAGCCCCTCTACAAACAGGCCTGCCTGTAACTCTGGCACATCTGTTGTTAAAATAAACGGGAATATTTTTTTAGGAATCGTGTACTTTTTTTTCTTTGCATATTTGGAAGTCACTAACTCCAGCGAGTGCCTACCTGGGTTAAATATCGTGGTGCCTTTCAGATATGCGTACTCCTTCGGGCTCAAGTCCAAGCTCCAAAACTTTTTCAGACAACACCTCAGCTTGCTGACGCCCGCCATGGTGGGCTGCTCCCTCTCCGTCTCGGGGCTCTCCTGGCGGTTCAGGAGGATCTTTTTCAGCATGCTGTCGGCCGGAACGTCCGTCACGTCGAAGTCCACATGCTCCTGGGCCAGACCCAGAATGAAGAGCGGCGCCCAGCAGCTTCTCAGAAGGGCGTACTGGTCACCCGGCGGCAGCTGCTTGAAGGCCGGTAAGTTTCTCATGAAGTGCACGGTTTTGACCAGGACCGCGGAGGCCTCCTTGCAGACCTCCGAGGGTCTGACCAAGCACACTGTCCTTCGCACCTCGCAGTTGCACCTGTGAGGAAACGAGCTGTGGTGGAAGGTGTCTTGGCTCGGCCCGCCTTTATCCATTTGGCTCAAGATGTTGTAGAGGATGGGATTCAAAAGCCTGTCGCCGCCGTTCGAGCAGTCACACCTGCTGTCCATCGTTTCTGACCAGGATGTGCGGTCTCTTCAGTCTGCTCTTTCTCTCTCTCTGCCTGAGCTGTTGGGTGTTACTGCTTCCTCCTGTCTGCCTTTACTTATAAAGCCACCCCGCCGCCTCCCGCCTCCTTGTTGGACCTTGAAATGTCAATACACTCGATGTGAAAAACAACTATGTGCTCTGCCAGGTGACTGCTAGAACAACCCTGGGAAGCAGATAAGCTTTTCTCAATGAAAAGTAGCTGCTGGAGTAACACATGGACATCGTGAGGGATTGGCCATATCTGAAAGCCGGTGTCGTTAACCCAGGCAGTACCAAGCTACCAAGGACTGCAGAGGTAATCAGCCTCCCACTGTGTCACTGCACCAGCCACCTAACACCTGTGGGGCTGGAAGGAGGCCAGAGCACCAAAAAAAACCAAAAAAAAAAAAAGGGGGGCCAGTGACCTTTACATTATGTCCTCATCAGGTGCCCTTTTATCTAAATAAACATTTAATCTGGAAGCAACCGGGGGATTTTTTAGACCTGTTTTGAGAAAGGTGGAAATCAGGAGTTGTTGCAGCGTCCAGTGGAAACGCCGTCAAGTCGAGTCAAATCTGAGCAGGCGTTAAACGTTTCCACAGCTTTAAGAGACAGCAAAGTGGCTAAAAAAAAAAAAAAAACACCTGCTAGAGAAGCAGAAATAGGTCGAAAAAATGGGAGAAAAAGAAACTGTTTTAACTGATTCCTTTCCCTCTTAAGGACGTAACTTCAAATAATAAGAGAGAGCTTGTTAACATGCCAAATGAGATGAAATTGTCCAGCAGTTGTTGAGGTATGTCAATGTAAAATTAAGAGATGCTCACCAGGCACCACATCCGTTTGTCAGCTGTGGGTTTGACTCTTGGCCCTGGTCATTTTCTTTTCTTTCGCCTCTCTTCTTTTTCTTGATACTGCGCAGTGTAACAGCAGTGATACACAGAGCCAAAGGCAAATACAACTGACTAATAGTTGCCATTATTAAGAACTGAAGGAAGAGTCCAATGGTGGCAGTAATTCAGAATATAATGCTAAAAACTCCAGATGATACTGTATTAAAAAAATGACATCAGACAAAACTTTGACTGTTCCAAGTCAGTCACGATTCTTCAAATTATTCTCTTTCCTAATTGACTGATTTACGGGTCAAACACTTTATGTTTCGCTGGTATTATGCTGGAATTACGCTCCCCTCCACCACATGGCATGTTCTTTAGTGATTTTGCAAAATGCATGGCTTTTCATGTTGCTATTAGAGTGCTGGCCTCTTCCTCTCTGAGTGGCATTTCAGCCCATGTTGGTACAGGTAGATATAGAGTCATTCTCTCATCCGCTTCACAAGATATTTTGCTTGTATTTTGGGTTTGATCTACAAATTTCACACACACAAACCCCCCCGCATATTTCTGGGTTTTAAAGTTCCCGCCTCTTTCCTGAACAGTATGAAGAAGAACCGCTGAACAGATGAAGCCTTCAGGCTTCTGTAAGTTTCACCCGTAATGAAACAGATTTCTGGAGGTCCACAGATTTCTTTCCTAAAATCTAGGGTTTTTGATTATTCATTGATTTCTCAAAAGGAAACAATGAGTTTCAAGTGTTGCCTTAAGTAGCAAAAGCAGGTGTGCCTTGGTTTAACTCTGCTGTGAATTAACCTGCACAGTAAAAATGCCAGTGTTGAATTAACACCCAAAATTGTCTATATGTGTCCAAGTCAGCAGATGTTAAAGTAACACTTTTGAAAGTGTTAAAAGATTGACACCCATTTTTTTGCTAAATTAACATTGGTATATAATACTGAAATGGGTTTAAGAAAAGTTAAACTTTCCATTTCTGTGTATTGTTTTGAATATTTTCCACTGGATTTGATTGATATTGACACTTTGTGGGTCAATTATTTACTTTTTTAACACCACATTATGTTTTGTGATCAACACTACGCTGGTGTTACTTTTAATGTATTTTAACACCAGGACCGTTGTAAATGTTAATGTGACACTCTGTATTGTTGAGTTTAACACCAGCTGACTTGGGCACATATTGACACTTTTGGGAGTTAATTCAACACTGGCATTTTTACTGTGTGTCAGAAACTTTAAAGCGGTGACGTCATCGGAGCGTCCCCATGTAAGGCTTAGTAATCCTGGTAAACGCAAACTCATAAATTTAAGGGTGCGCTGTGGTGACGCAGGGGTTAAGCACAACCCACATATGGAGGCCTTAGTCCTTGAGGCGGCTGTCGCAGGTTCGATTCCCAGCCCGGTGACTTTTGCTGCATGTCTTCCCCCTCCCTCCTTACCCACTTTCTTGTCAATTCACTATCAAATAAAGGCCACCAGAGCCACTAAAACCTTAAAAAAAAAAAACGTGTAAATTTAAAGAATGTAATAAAAAAGGTATTTTTTAAGTTTTCAACAACCTGATCAAACATCACTGACCCTTGGTATTGCTATGTAATAATGTCAGTGGGTCGTGTCAATGATGTTGGCTCCCACTGGGTGAATAGGTTTGTTGACTTTAGATAATGTTAGTCTTTTACCTGCTAAGTGGTGAGTAGAAGCTGGTGTTAGGCTATGTTCACATTTTCACATCGACCAATGACAACTTTGTAATTAGACATTGTTTAGCAGCTTTTAGTTTTTATTTTACATTTGGATATTTTTAATCCAAATGCAGAATTAGCTAAATATAAAAATAATTATAAAATCAGGTATCATTATGATTCTTATGTGTTTGGACATTTAGTTTCAAGCAGAGTCAGCAAAGTTCAAGGCTTTGCTGACCTTGAACTTAATGAAACAACGTGTTTCTTATTCTATCACACTATTTCCTTCCACTTTGCATTTATGTGCTTGCATACGGTTCTATGCAAACGTCCAATTACTTCATCAAACCCTCTTTCGGCTGAAAAGTCGTTCATTTTCCTCGTCATTTAGGCCTTAATAAAACCATAACAGAAATTTTGTGTGGGAATGTGTGTGACTGGTCTTAGGTAATTATCTAGTTTTCACAAACGACATCCTGGGGGTTATCATTGTCGTTGTACATGTGTGAATAAGCTAAATAAATAAACTTTTCAACGTCGTTCTGATTTAAAAGAAGGGTGTTGGTTGTACATAACGTGGATGTTGTTATTCTAAAATAATCAAAACTGATAAATAAAAAGATGAGATCATGGAATTTCAATTTATGGTTTCTGTGACAGGTGATGCAGTGTTCCACAATCCTAATTTATTATCCTGCCTGTGCCTGGCACCGAGGGGCGAATACGATAAGCAAATGACTTTATTACGATCTCACATAAACAAAATGGTAAAAGTTGCGTGTTTTTTTTTTTTTTCCTCTCGGTTTGGACATTTAGCTCCTCGGTCGCTACACATGAAAAATATTTATGACTTGGTTAAATGACACAAAAAATTTTTTTTTTTATTTTTTATTTTTTTACATTTGCTCAGAGTGTTACCCAGAAGCTTTAAAGTGTTGCAGAGGGGAAGTTCCAGGAGAAGAGGTAAACCCTGGAGCAGCAAAGTCAAGGTCAGTCATGTAGTGTAAAACCGCAATAAAGAGATTAGACGCCAGACACAACTGGCAGCACCAGTCACCCAGTGTTTGCCTTACTTCATTACTCTCTCCACTCATTCCTTGAAGGATTCCTCTAGAAAATATTTCACAACCTCATTCTTTTTGTAATCTCATTTTCACACACTGTAACCATCTATACCAGAAATAATCACCCATGTGCGAAGGAAAACAAGAAAACACATCTTAATCAGGAGGAATGTAAGCATTTTTTTTTTTTTTTACAGGGTGACCTGTAATGCACCCCCGGCAGCTCTTCGGCTCCGTGGAGCATGATGACAGTTGTAAATGGCTGCGATAAGGCGTGTGTTTATAGAGGTTAGGAGCAGGCAGAGACGGGCACGGAGGACAGACACTTATCTCAGCCTGGACAGTAAAAATAAAATGTCCTTCAGTCTATAAGTGGAATGTTCTGGGAGGGAGGAAGCGCCGCCTCATCAGGTTGGACGTGATGTAATGCCTGTCTTCCAGAGATGATCCAAATCTTCACATCTGTGGTCGTTTGAAATCAAAACAAACTTAAATAGGTCAGGAATTGAAACTGTTGCAACTCAATTCCACATTCATGGATTCTTTCTTTTGCATATTTAAATATTTTAAA